ACCTTTTTTTTTTTTTTTTTTTTTGGAAGTGTGATTCCTGCTCACCACAACCATATTGACAGAATTTCTCCTTTAACAAATTTAATCCTTAAAGCAGTTGTTTTCTATTATTCTATTTCCCAAAGTCCCAGATTATGACCGCCCCTATTGGATTGGCCTCGCTCCACATTCATCTCACTTGCGTAACTTCAGTGTTAGTGACAGAAGCCTGGCTGATGGCTGTCAGCAGCCTCCCAGGATGTTGGGGCATGATAAGGCTATACCTGGGTCTGAAGTTTCCTTTCCTTTCTTTGCTAACTTGTGTTAGCTTAATCTGGAGGTGATTTCACTTAATACTTCATTATCCAGCCCCAGTCATTCCTATGGCCTTCCTACTGAGATCTTGTGTGATGCTGGTATTGGGAAGAATGTTGGTGTGGAATTTTTGGTTTTGTTCTTATTTTTAAGTATGGATGCCAAACCATCCAGTCCACTTAAGTCATTGTGTAACAACTTGTGAGACTTGACTTGAGCTGAGCTCAAACCATGATAGAAAAATGAAAGGCTCTGCATCCCTTCACCAACCTTTTGAGCCATCTCATCACCTTCCTTTTTTCATCTCCATATAGCCCATGTACTAATCGTTCCATGGTCAGGCTGGCCCATATTAGACTCTAAAATAGGTTCTGTGGCCAGTGCCAATTATTGAATAAGTTCCATATTTCCTGTTTTCCTGCCTGTTAGTGTGACAATAAAAGTAGTAGAGCAGTCCTCATTAACTTTGTCCATACATGTCTTTGACAGGTGCTTTTGAAGTAGCCATTGCAGTCCTGCTTGGCATCTGTATCATGATAGTCCTGGTTATTATTGGTTACTACTACCTGAAGAACAGAAAGAAGAACAGCCGGCGACGCCAACCTGCCACTGCTACGAACTCTACCCTCTCCACCACAGAGGACACTGAGCACCTGGTTTACAACAGCACCACAAAACCCATTTGACCTAAAATGCTTCCCTCCGATCTGGCAGTGGGGACAGTTCCATGTGACTGGGGCGGTTTGTTTGAAACAAAGGTGGCTGAAAGACTCCTTGCCTCTTTATTTTCCTCTGTTAGATGTAGCATATTAGGAAGCTGTAGCCACAGTTCAGCTTTTATTAGAACTTCCAGTTGTCCTGGATAAGTGCTCTTGCAGTTGAGGGAGAGTGTCTCTTCCCAGTTCCCAGTGACAGCTCAATGTCACTTGTGCCTTCCACTCTCCCCTAGAGAGGAGCCTATTTTGACTAGAAGGATCTGCTCTACTGACTGAAGGAGCTCTGGTTTGACTTGTGTGGCATTATCTCTTGCATGGGCCTACCAGAGCCAGCCATCTTATTTTATTTTATTCTGCCCTGTGCCACACAGTACTACCTACTTTGAAACCTGTCCATGCACCTGTTTTGTCTTCCTCTTCATGCTTATCCCTTTACAGTACTATCTTCCAAAGATAGCTTCCCAACATCAAACCCAGTGTTCTCAGTGAATTTCTTTGGGGTCCTGTGTTTTGTGTGACTGGCTCCATAAACACTGATAACTGCATGGCAGTCTTGCATGAGCTTTTTTCCTGTGGTGGGCAAAGAGGACTGTCTGCATTTTTTTTTTTTTTTTTTTTT